GCAGTTCGTTGCACATAGCCTTTGTTGTTAAACTGGATTTTTAGTCTTGAGTGTTGCAGATAAAGAATCACTTGCCCATTATCTCTTACTCATAAAATCTACAAAGCAATTCCTTTATTTTTGAGATATATTCTTGAGTTTTCCTTTTATGGTAGGGCGTCTGATTGTACCTTTCCCTTCTTTCCCTTCACTTGCATGCTACTGAACCACAAAATGTTATCAAAGGCATGCGACTTAGTGCTCCTGCACATAGGCCCGTGGCGAAGTGCCCCATATCCAAGGTTTTAAATGTCGGCCGACATGTTCGACATGTCGGCTGACATGTCGGTTTGAGGGCTTGAGCGACACGACATGGGCGTTTTCAACTCGTATGTCGGTTTTCAGGGTCAAATCGGAAATATCGGGGTTATATCGGGCATATCGGTCGATTTTCCAGCATTGAAAAATCGGCCGATATGGCTTTTTTTTTAAAATCTGTTTTTTGTTATCGGGTTTGAGTTTAGTGATAAAAATCTAAACCCGTTTGACCCGTTCTCATGTTTAAGGGTGTCTTATGAACCCGATAGAAAGAAAAGAGAAAAATTAGGACTACAATGAACTTGGGAACCGATCACTCATTCTGTGAACGACGACGCCCTTCCCTCACCTCCATCTCAGACCCCTGTCGTCCATCTCCCGTTGCGTCCCGAAATCCGAACCTCAACCGAACCGAGGACGGTAGGGTATCCCGTCGTCAGGATAAATGGAAGAGGGTGGTCTTATGAACCCGATAGAAAGAAAAGAGAAAAATTAGGACTACAATGAACTTGGGAACCGATCACTCATTCTGTGAACGACGACGCCCTTCCCTCACCTCCATCTCAGACCCCTGTCGTCCATCTCCCGTTGCGTCCCGAAATCCGAACCTCAACCGAACCGAGGACGGTAGGGTATCCCGTCGTCAGGATAAATGGAAGAGGGTGGTCGGTGACTCATCCGAAGAGAGGGTGGTCGGTGACTCATCCGAAGGACCCCGAACAGACGAAGAAGAAGAAGAAGAGCCCCGACACTACCTCCCTGCGACGTCGGAATCCACCCATCGCCGACGCTGTCTCTAGAATTTATAAAGTATGCTTATATTAAATTTAGGAATGCTTAAATTATATTTAGGACATGATATTATACATATGTGCTCACCCGATATGGCAATCCGATATTTAGTCCATGTCCTCGATATATCCCCGATTTTCGCTATCCGTCATGGATTTCAATCGTCCAACATTAACCCAACATCCAACATTTAAAACCTTGCCGACATCTAATGCGGTAGCACTTTATTGTGCCTCGCAATTGTCTTGCTTGATGGCGCTTTACACAAGACGCGTGTGTCATGAGCGCCTTATTTTCACATCACAAACTAGTCTTTCCATGTGGCATCTAGTCACTCTTGGCGTTCAGCCTACTAACCAAGCACTCAAGAACGCAAGAGAACTTTAGGTGGAACTTGAGATTTTTATTGCTTAATACTTGATTGGATACAAATGAGCTCCCCCTTGGCCTCCTATATAGGAGTGACTCCCTTTTACATGAATGACCTAGATTTCTCTTCTAGAGAATTCTATACATTCAGTAGTCAAGATTAATCCTCTAGAGAATTCTATACAAATGTCTCATATACAAGAATATCCAAGAATTTACATGAACATTCTAGAGTTTGGCTGATGTGGCGGTGATGTAATCGCTGACTTGGTGAGAGAAAAAGTTGTATGTGACACGTGCAAGACATTTTGGTTCTTTAACATTTGATTGGGTCTTTATACCTGATAGTCCATATCCTAGAAAAGAAAGATAAATCCATTATGCCATTTTCCTGATTGAGGACCCTAACTCATTCTTGTTTACTAGTTGATTTGCTTCGGTATTAGTATTGATTTGACTTTTGATTTGGAAAATTATGAACTTTGCTATGTTGGGCGTGTTAGCACTATGAATTAAGATCTTATGTTGTTATTTGATAGTGGATATTATTTATTTTGACATAATTTTATATGAAAATTCATAAACATGTTCATTTGTGCTTGATTATCTATCTTGAAAAACTTTGTGTGGTGTGCGCCTCACTTCACTCAGGCATAATGCGGTGCGTTGCGCCTTGCATATGTGTATGTGGAGGGACTTTCCGCCCTGCATTATGCATCGCGATTGATAATGCTGCAACTACCTTATGTATTCTGTTACTTTTTTCTTCAGTTATAGTTAATATTTTCATATTTTTCACTTCATCGTTTTTCTTTTCAGTTAATTGTTCTTACTTACTTATTTCTGCAATTTATCTCCCTCCCAATTTAAATCTTTTCAATGACTGTGCAGCCCCTGAAATGATGCATTAGGCAGTGGATTATTATTCTCTCTATTCAGTCAATCTATGAAAGAGGAAAAAGTAACATAATGAGACCATTGGCAACACTAGAACTAGTGCCTTACTCCATGGTCGCTACCACCTTTCCTTTTGCTTAATACCTCTTCTGCTATAACCATGTTACTTCTTGACTTGGTACTTTGCACTTTACCAACACTTGTGTGCTTGATTGTGAAAGAAGCCTGCAATTGGATATTACCAATGGACTTAGCTGCAGGAAATTGGGGTGTGGGTAAGTTTATTGTTATTGATGCTCAGAAGTTTTGGTATTGGAAAATGATTGGAAGCTGGGTGCTGATGGATTATAATATCACCTAATTTATTGTTTCCGATTTGAATATCTGAATTTCATTGGTTCAAAATTTTTGAAAGTTGATGTTAATAGAAGTTAGATTGTGTAAGCTGCTGTGGTTTAGGTGGTGGCTTATTAGTTACTACGTTATAGTTTGGATGGGAATGTGTATGTTGTTGTTGTCATATATGCAAACCAGTTCAATGTCTTCCATTTTATGCATTCATCTGTTTGCTGAATAGTCAACATACTTAGGTTCTATATCTTTTACCTATAATCTCTACCAATACTTAATAATTCTGTTCATTAAAATCTTATCTAGGCAATACATGGTATTTTAAATTAGACCAGTGCTTATCTGGAAGGCATTTATTTTGAAATATCTGTTTTTGGCAATGTCATGCAATTCCTCGAATATATTCTACATTCAATATGATTGCATTGTTGAGCATTGGCACACATATCCTTCTACAAATGCTTTTTCCTGGAATGGAGATTGTAAATGCACATCTACACAGTGGATTCTTACCTCCTTGAATGAATTTTGTATTCTACATTCAATCTGATTGCATTATTGAGCATTGACACACATCCTCCAGCAATTTCCTTTTCCTAGAATGGAGATTGTAATGCACATCCATGACACAATGGATTCGATTTACCTCCTTGAATGAATGTTGCACAGCATTCCACCTTATAGTTTGCAGGAGTGCTTTAAAATTGCATCAGTTCACTCCATGACTAATTTTAAGTAATTTTGCCATTTGTGGTTTGTTCAGGTTGTCATACAACATGTCGCATGCGGATTGTGCTGGAGCATTGTTCTACTCTATCATGAAATCAGCTTATGATTCTCCTCATTCATCTCAAAGTGAGTGCTAGCTGTTTTCTTGCCAGCTTCATATTATTCCACATTTTTCGTGTTGCTATGAGATGGACTATTATTAGATGTCTTATAATGTCTGCTCTATGTATTTATGTATAACTGCACAGATGCAATTATAGCTGTAGAAATGATGTATGTAAATACAACATGCATGCATGCACACACATATAGAGGTTGGGGCTCTTATTTTAGCGGGGTTACAAATACGTACATGTTTGTGTTTAGATGTATGTATATCATAAATGTTTGGTTGCCGATCTGGTTCTGTGTGGGTGCAACCATACATGGATACAGTATCCATATGCTTGCAAGACAACTAGAGATAGAAAGCTGAGGAGAGACGGAAGAAGGGATACTTTCTTTCTTTCTTTTTTGTTTTTGGGGGAATGCTAACATCAGCCCAATACCAGTGCAGTTTTCGAGTCTATATAAAATGCACAAATACTGCAAAGACATGTATTTGTTGGTCACCCTGGTGCTATGGAAAATAAAATAGAGTACTTTCATGGGACAATATCCTAATATGTGTCCTCTGTGTGGTTTCTGAGGAGGATTAGGCACCAAAGGCTCCATATTGGTCCCAAGTTAGTGTAAAATGTAGGATAGTGTAGGTTTAATGGTATTCACAGGAGTTTTTTCTCCATAGGTTCTGTAGTTTCTTTTCTTGTGGGCACAGGGGTCAGTGGGTCTTGATAAGCTTATACATAAATGTCCAATGAAAATAACTTACGTTGTATTGTATGGAAACTTGTAGTTGTAATAATAGCAACGAAGAATAATAGTTTGTTTGCTAGAACTATTTTGATATATGAGTTATTCATAGGTTCAGAGTGTGAATCAAATTATATTTTAGGAGAAGGGTGGAAAAATACAAAAGAGAAGATGGACTTTATATTAATAGAGTTTTATAAGAACAGGAGTTGACTGGAAGTGATATTAAGTATTGTTTTAATCATAAGCTAGATAGTTTTATTTTTGTTGAAATTAGTTTGATTTTTGCTAGGATTTAAACTTAGTTTGATTTGTTATAATATGAAATTAGTTGCTTTTCTTAAACTTGTAAGACAGTTCGTCAGTTAACTGGTTAAATTTGTTTTTACCTGGTTGCATTTGTTTCTTAGTTGTGGAATGAGATTAGGAGACTGCTACTATTCTTATGCATCTAACAAAAGATTAAGGCATGAGAGTTGCATTTAGTTTTGATGGATATGGAATGAAAAGTTGACACTCTGGACATTATGGTGTTAAGTTCATTTTTCTCCGAGGTTTGAAGTGCCGGCGGATACGTACGCAACTCAGCCATATAGTGTCGTTATTAGGTATGCTAATCTCATCTAGCTGAAGCTGACAAATATGATCAATACTTGCTTATGACAACCAATAATGGTTGATGTTGGCTAACTATGTCTAGTGCATGAGGTGATGTTAACTTTCGTCTTTTAATTACCAAATGTTCTTTTCATAGAGCTTCTTCGGGAAAGTAGAAAAAGAAAGTTTATTCATAAGACTTTGATTAAGACTATTTTGTTATGAATTAGTGATCTCAAACACATCTCATTTATTACTCATGTATGTATGTGCTTAGCGTCTAAAAGATGATTCTAACTCTTTGTTGTAGATATGTTTCCACTTTTATCGGATCATTTCCTTCAAATATTATTGTAGGGAACACATAATGATTGTGAACTGAACTTTAACTTATAGGGGAGCTGCTATCAAATACTGCTAAGGAAATTGACAAATGGAAGAATCTCCTGAAGAATTACCTCAGATCCAAAGATGAGGAGGTATGATGTTTCCATTTCTTTATTTCCATCCTTCTATGAATACAAATTCTTCTCTTTTTTTGTTCCATATGTTTCTTTCACACATTTTGTACACCTAGATAATAGTATGACTTCCTAGAAAATCAGAAATTTTCATCAAAAAGATTTATTTTAATATTTTTTATTGGGAAGACAAATCATCCTATGAACCTAAACATTCAATCTTGTCGGGCATTAGACCGGTCTTTTCTTTGTCAACTTCGTCCACGACTGTATGAGCTCTCATTAGGTTTGGATTCTCCTGTTTCATAAAAAAGAGTTGGTTCTGGATTAGACTTGGCAATATCAATTAATGGTCCAAAAGATTTTGAGTTCCAAGTTCAAGTTATGAATATCATCCAGTCCTTGTAATTTTTTATTCATCAAACGGGCCAATAATCAACAAGGCTTTCTGTTTAGAGTATCTACCAAAGTATTGGTCATTTCAAATACTAGGTTTATAATGTGTATCTATTCTTCTATGCTTCATCTTAAAGTGATAAAAAAGATAGTGATGTGTTTTTATTTCCCACATCTGTGTCGAATGTAGCTTTCATGGAACCTATTAAGCTCCATCGAGATTCTAATCTTTCTCTGTATTTCTGCAATTTTCCAGTTTGCAATACCTTCAGCCTAGTATTTTTGCACCTTCTCCAATGTTTAAACTAGCATTGGACTTTTGATACACACCCAACCCAATCCACACCATAAAACTCCAACCACATTCAATTAACTTCTTCCACTGGAAACCTGACCCGCTCCAGAGCCAACCTGCTTTCATCACTCCATCTTCTGTAAAGTCACTCTTTGAAAGATCACTAGGGTTTTATGAACGGGAAATTATAGTCGCTCTTAGCTTTCTTTCCTTTTTCTTGTTTTCTTGAGTTAGTAGGCATTATACATAGTTTATCTGCTATTTTGATAGATAGCTTGCATTTCTTTTGTAAGGGTATATTATAATTGACCTCTGTTCTTTACTTCTGTAATACGGTAGATTCGTGTTGAAGACTAGATGAATGCTTATTTCTTTGTATTGTTATTATATGCTTTTGATTTTCTTTTGAGTAGTTTTGGTTGCTCTTTTGTAAGTTTTGTGTTAAGAAATGAAAGTCTGGGGTACGTAATAATGAAGTGGCTACATCATTCATCCTAAAACCCTAATCACACAAAGAGAGCCTTTATAGAAGATGGAGGGATGAACCGGATCGGGTCTGGAGTGGAATGAGCTAATTGAATGTGGGGCAGGTTTGTGTAATGGGTTGGGCCAGGTGTGCACAAACTTTGTTGCTTTGAAGTCTTATAGCTACTTTAACTGTTGCTTCTGCTTGTAAATCTGTGAACAACCAATATGTCAGATTATTTCTACATGTTTGTTTAGTAAGGGTTTCAATACACAATTTTGTGTTGCCAATGATCAGCGTGAATCATCAAAAGAATGATTAAGAACTCATATCAGCCATCTATACTCTGAGAGGGACTTCGAAAGCATCTTCAGTTTCAATTGTAAGCTACAATAGCTGGTTTTAAGATCAAACTTCAAAATTTTTTTGCTTTCCTCGTCTTCTGTTATCTCACTAGGTAAATCAAATTTTGAGATGTTAATATTTATTTCTCACACTTAGATTCAGCTCTTTATGCTCAGTACCTGGTCCCCTGGATCCATCTTTGCTTGCAAAGAGCAGTGGAACACCTGGAGATGTTACTTGAGCTTGAATTAAGCCTTTAGATCGCTGCTGCTTCCTAAGTTCCTTTGTTCAGAGATAGTCTTCCAGTGAAACACCTCTGAGAGTAGATCAGTGCTTGGGATTAATTCAACTAAGAATTAACCTTCTCTACCTGGTGGTAATCCTGGCATAGCCGTAATTTTTTTTCATAAAATCCTTGTACACTTGGATCGTCGATTGATTACTTTCTCTTTATCTTCACTAGCATATGCAAGCTAGTCATTGATCAAATTTGAAGAAGCCGATTGGCACAAGTTTAGAGGATATTGTTTGAGATTTGGAAGTTTCTTGTTTGCCTTTGGGATGATCAGGTCTCATTTTGGCGTACAAATGTCAGCATGTTTTATAATTATCTCAATTGAATCTATCTAGTACGAAATGGTGGAGCATATCCGGGCCTGGCATGTCTGTACACATGTTTGACATAGATACTTCTGCACCTCTCAGAGACATGGAAGCTTCTGAATTTATCCTGAATTATATATTATTGTTTTAAACTTAGGACACTCTTTGGAGACGTACTACATTTCTCCTATGCTTCTTTGTTCATATTACACATTTTAGATATTTATGTACTTCCATTAACATATCCAAGGCTATTTACTTTACTAGAAAGAGTCAAAATTATTCACTTGTAAACAGCTGTATAAGCTTAGATATATTTAATATACATAGACCTACTGCATAGAGAAAACTGTGGCCCCTACAACTTTGTGAATCTTGAGTTGAAATATGATCTTGTACAGAACCTTACTCTTTTTCTAGTTGAGATAAAAAATTGGATGGTGATTGTTTTCTGGCTATCAATCACATCCTTTTTACTTCTTTTTTAAACACTGTTAATTAGATTTTTTTTTCTCTATTTGAGCTCGAGAATGGAATGGTGATTGTTTTCTGCCCTCAATCACATGATCCTTTTTAGCTTCTTTTTACAATGTTAATTAGATATTGTCTCATTTGGCTCAAATGTTCTGTCCAATTGCTATCAGCAGTCAAGAAAAATTGTTGCAATTGTGTTATTCTTTACTAGTATATCTGTGTTCCATTGTCAGTAAAATGTTTATTGATTTTTTGTTTATGATTTGCCTGGACTTGATGTTTTTGTAGATTGAGGTGATAATGAAGCTTGAGGAGATGTGCTTGGAAAGTGCACTGGATTTTTCTCCTTTGTTTACAACGGTAACTGTTTAACCCCAAAGAGAAATCTGATGGAGTGCATTTTTTTCTGCTGTATAATAGTAAAAAATGTTTGTCGTGATGAGAAAATTGAGATAGAAAGTACATCCCTGGAGCCATTTGGATCAAAACGACTAGCACAAAAAAATGTTGCTCATATTTAACTTCTCTGGTATGAATTCTTACGTCTCAAGATGAGATTTTAAAAAGAAATAAACATAAAACATCAGATATTTGATTATGTGTGTTATCCCCAGTTGCAAAATGGTAATGAAATGGGTCTCATTATGGCTATTTTTGTCATTTGTCTGACAAAGGTTGATTGAGTAGCCCTTTATAATTACATCAGTTTTGACTGTTAAGCCCAAAGCTTTTGCCATTTTATACTTTTTTCCCAGAGGGATGCAAATTATTCCTCATAAATAGAATTTGTGATTATAGGTATAGCGGGTGAATTTGGATGTTCTTGATTAAACAAGGAGATTGAATTTCTTTCTATGACAAATTAAGTGGGTCCGGGTGTTTCTTCTTGATGGACCAAATATATATATAAACTAGTTTACTTATTTTAGCCATGCTTCACACACTCTTTTAAAGGGGACTGTTTGATTCTTTTGATTTTTTTTCACTCTTGGTTCAAGTTATTAGATTCTTCAATCTTCACTGATTTTCAACTTGAAACTTTTCTTTTAAGATACTGAACCGACTCTATGAGAAGGATATTATATCCGAAGATGCAATACTTACCTGGGCAGAGGAAAAGGAAGGAGCAGATGAATCTGACAAAATCTTTGTGAAGCAGGCAGAACAATTTATCAGGGTATGTATTGAGAGCCTGAACCTTGTGTTATTAGAGTGGCTGTATGACATAATATATGTAAATTCAGCATGTTGCTGCTCATAATATATCTGCTTATTAATCTCTTTAGTTGGTAAGTTTGCATATTTACTTGCATGCGCTCCCGGAAAGAAAGGGGGAAATACAAAAAACTAAAACCAATTTTGGAGTTGAACTTCCCTAGTAATGATTGATGGGGACCAAATAAAGCTTTGTGGTAAAATTAGGTAATATGTAGCTTATCCATAGTTTTGTAAAAAGGGATATACTGGCATGAAAACGATGTTTACATGACATCTAACTGGAAGTAGGAATTCATAAATGTAGCTCATATGACATATAGAGGTAATAGTGGACTCATTAACTTTAGGGCATGTTTGGTAGATCTAGATTATAATCTACTTCAGTTATAATCCATTTGTAGGTTATAACCCAATTGGATTATATTTTAGGTGTTTGGTGAAGAGGGTGGTTATAATCCATGTGACTTTTTGTTAAAATGACAAACGAACCCTTACCAAGAATGAGCACCCAAAAGTGACGTCTTTTTTGTCTCTTGCTTGGTCAAACATGTTGAGTACAATCCACTCAAAAAATAACTTATGAATGCTACATTGTCTTTTGGTGGATTATAATCCAAAATAATCTACTCAAAATGGTTACCATGCATGCAAAAGTAGATCCACTTTGAGCAAGTTGCTAAACATGCTCTTATTCCTTCCTAATATGGCTAGCTTACACGACACTGTGCAGACAAATTTTGCTGTCCTTTGCATTATCTTACAAAATTCTGAATGTACGACATTATTTTGTTCGATAATTTGGTGTAGTGGCTAAGGGAAGCTTCTGAAGAAGATGAAGAAGAAGAAGAAGAATAAGCACTTTGAGGTGATTTTGACTCTAGACCCTCATCTTTAATTTGTGGGTGAGAGCATTCCTCATTCTTTGTTTCTTGGTACTTCAAATATATTTGATCTACATCTGATTTTCAATTCATCGTAGCTCATTTTCTCAAAGCACTTTATTCTTGGATGCAATTATAAATTTCTTGCGGGATTATAGAGTTAGTAGATCCTATTTTAACTATAAATATATTGAGTTCATGCAGGGTTCCTCTTGTAAAGTTAGTGCAGCCAAGTCTTGCGACCTTGAATAATATTCGCATATGTGGAGCTCAAGAGATTTCCAAAGAAAGCCAAGTTGCATGAAACTCCAAATATTGCTTCAAGGGCGGCTCTTGAGCTTCAAGCGAGATTGGAATACTTCCTAGGGATTGTTTCATGAAGTGAACTTCTGCATGACATCTTGGGTATTAATCATTATTGTACTTCATGATACTTCGTCATTTTTCAAAAGGCATCTCCGTACCTTCTTTGATTGAGCGTACATGAGCACTGATACAGATGTCAGCGAAGTACAAGAACTTGTATCTAAGGATATGCATCAGATATCTGAAACTTCCCTTATTATCTAGTAAAATAGCCTTTTTGCATCGTCCATATTAGCTATAATGGTGTATGATTATTAATTCCTTCGCCCTCTATTATCTGCATTATGTTTTAAGTAGAAGAAATAATCAGTGTATATAGGCTTCTCGTGTATCATTTTTGAAACCCCTTTGAACTTAGATTGTGATGAATGAGAGTTATAGCGTATAACTAAAATGACCTGCAATTTGAGGGACCATTTTATGACCGAAACCTAGACTCACACAATATCTATTTTTCTTAATGTATACGCTTCTAAGTACTTGGCTTGTGAGATTTGAAAATGATTACTTTGAGATCATCTTGAAGCCTTTTACATTGCACCAAAACTGCAAAATTGTGATGAGATTCTAGAGAGAGAGTATGTAATCTATTGATTGAAAAAAAAATCCATAATCTAGCAGCCGTCTTGTTGGCATGCAGTCCCTTCCTACCTGGTTAGTGAGAAAACATCTTGAGTAGGAAAATACTGTTCTGACAATTCGGATCTAAATAGCAAGCAAGGGAAGATGATTTATGTTTGCTACTACTCTCGTGGTGCTCCCATTGGTGGCTTGGGCAAGTTCTCTTATGCCATAAGTTTGGAGAAACATGATGTCTGCATATTTGAGTTTATCTAGATCATTGTAAGATGTGTAAGTTGTATATGTACAAGTTTTTATGCATGTCGTTATTGTTTCCTTTTGGCTTATTTACTCACTTAACTTGGTTGCGAAACATTTCTTTTATTACCGTATGAAAAAGTAAAATAATTTGTTATCTTCATACCTATATAATTAATCAAAAGTATTAGAATAATCATGATCAAAGTCAAAATTACAGTCTATTCATATTAAGTATAATTTACAATAAATATTACTTGAAGGCTAAATTCTTTTATTAAAAAAATATTTTTTATGTAAATAATTTGGAATTGAAGATTCATTTCCTTTATCGTAAATGACTTCCTTTTTACCCCTGCCTTTGCGAGAATAACAAATGTCGTCCTGAATGAATCCCGCACCTGCTTTTTTGTCAAGCAAAATGATTGGAGTGGTATACAGAAGTCAGGGTTATCATATAACCCCTTCATGATATTATCAAGGCACAACAAGTACTCTAAATCAGCATTTATTGTTACTTCTTCGGCAAGTTGTCAATTACAACTACTATCCGATGATTCTCCATCGTCAAGATTGATTACAATGGGTACAATGTCATTAAGTACAAAACCACCATCGTAATCAAACCCAGCTTCGGTATCAGCTTCTTCTTCGCTGTCCGTGCCTTGGGCCGATGGTTCAGTATCGGATTCAGCACCGTAGAGAAGTGAGTTAGTAAAATAATTCTCTAACCCCTTAAACGGTTACTTATCCGCGACCACCGTCTTGACCTCGTTGTTAGTGTTCGCATATTTAAGACACTGATGGAGGGTAGAAGGGACTATAACGTTACCGTGGATCCAAGGTCGACCCAACAGTAAGTTATAAGAAGTCTCTGCGTCGATCACATAGCATGTGATTTCCGACTTAAAATCTCCAATTTGGCACTTTACTCGGATTTTTCCCAAAGGTCTGGACCCACTAGTGTTGAATCTATAGATTGTAGTGCCCATGGAGGACAGCTTACTGGCCGGTATTCCGAGGCTATACATCAATCAGAGTGGCATGATGCTAACAGCGGAACCCGGATCAACTTGGATCTGGTTGACAACGCTGGAGCCAATGTGCCCGGTGAAATACAAGGGCCGGTCATGCTTTGAATTCTTTGTCTGCAAGTCCTCCTTGGTGAAAGAAATGCAGAGAAAATGGTGCGCCGCGAGGTTGCAATGGTGCACTGAAGGCTCTGGCTCTTCGGGGGACGGTTTGATCTGGGTTAGGAAAACGTCCGTATTTGCCAAAGCTTCTTGCAATGCTTCCCTTGTGTCCTTCAACAGTCGTAGTAGCTCATATAGAGTTATTCTAGCCAGTATATTGGCTAACTGCGTCATAATATCGAAACGTTGTGGAGTATTCGAGCTCCCCGGTTTGTCCCTTCCAATCGGTTGATTGACTCGAGACTGCTTCGAGTTCTGAACCTCTTGGTGTAAAGGCTCCTTTTCCTTTAGCTTTGGCTGAGTCTTCTCAATGGGTACCGGAGGAGTTGCGACTACCCCCATTTCCGCTAATGTCTTCAAGGGAATGGTTTTGGTTACTCTTTGTTTGGCTAGCTGATCGGAGGCACTCGGATATTTGACATGGTATTCATTTCCACTCATGGTAGCAAAGACCTCTTGCTCATCTTTGGAGAGAGAGAAAGTGGGAATTTCTTCATCATTTTCTTCTGGAATAGCTGCAACTCCATAACAGGACTTTTCTTTCCCTTTTGATTTCTTCTTAGATGACGACCTAGCCCATTGCTCATCTTCGATCAGATCCGGATGGACCCAGAGAATCTCGCCATTTGGGGCTGTGTGTGTCACAAGTCCTTTCTGACGTTGTTTGTGAGGATCATCATTGACAGTCTTCACCGCTACGTTTATTACAGGCTCGGGCTGGAACCAGTCCAAAGGAGCAGATCCGAAGCTAATTGATACAGCGTTTGCACCCACTTTCTTCTCCTTGGATGATTTCACCGTCAGGACCCCAACATCGATCAATGCTTGGATCTTATCCTTGAGGGTGTAACATGTTTTGGTAGGATGATGCACCGCTCTATGGAATGCGCAGTATTTCGGGTCATTAACCTTCTTGGCATCTTCCTGATCCTGGATTGGAGGTAACTTGATTTTGTTATTCTCCACAAGGTGTTTGAAGAGACCAGGAACTTCGTCCTCCCTGAAAGAATAAACTTTCGGAAATTTTGGTTTGGTAGTCTTTGGCTTTTGTGACCTCTGTTGCCATTGTGACTGTTGAGGCCCTTTTTGCGGTTGTTGTTGCTGCTGCGGTTGTAATTCGAACGTCTGGTTCGCATCCACCGCATTTGATTGGGCTTTCCCTTTACCTCGAGGAACAAAATTCTACTTCGGGGTATTAGCCGTTGTTTGACCTCTTTCGGCCTTCTTCCTTTAGAGAAAACACTCGGCTCGTTCTCCTTGCACTTTCAAGTCTTTCTAAGTCTTGGACGGCGACATTCCCATGGATTCCAGGATATCTAGCGAAAGGTTGTTATGATAAGTCTCGAGGATAAAATCTTCGCTTACCGGATCTCGACAATTCATTGCTTTGTTCTGGAATATTTTAACGAAGTTCTCTACCGACTATCCGTCCTTCTGTTTCTCATCGAACAGCGTTCCGATTAAAATTTCGGTGTCATCATCGAAGAAATTCGTAAGGAACATGTCTTCCATGTCGTCCTAACTGTTGATACTCCTCGGTTTGAGGCGACGATACCAATCGAAGGCCGCTCCTCGAAGAGTGTCAACGAATGACCGTACCATTAGAGGTTCATTGCCGGAGATTATTCCCAAGTAGGACTTGAAGTATATTAAATGCTGAGTGGGGGAACCCTTTCCGTCAAATAGCGTGAAGATTAAATTAAACTTCACCGGATACGTGATTGATTCCCATTCTCTCGGGTATAGACATGGTATTCCAAACTTCTTTACCTCCTGAGCACTCATCAAGGCGTTGATTTTGCTCTCCAAGTCCCTCATCTTCTTTTCTTCGCTCATATCTTTCTTCGAGCGATTACGGGGAGAAGTGACATGGTCTTCTTTCGTATTATTGTCGTCTGAGGGTCCACCCCCAGCGTTGTTATCAACGGGAGGGATTTCCACATTGACATTCTCGTCTGCTTCCCGATCACTATCAACCTGATTAGGGTTATTACGACGACTGGACTCCCCCTGTTGATTCGTCAGTGCTGCAATTTGTTGGCTATGCATATCTCTCATTTTCTGCATAGCCATCTCCATTTCAAATTTCAAATTTTCTTTTTGCTTAGTTAAAGCCTCCTCGAGAATCTTAGCCATTTGTTCGGCGTTAATCATGAACGATTCATAAGATTGTCCTGTACTGGATGCCGTATCATCGGAAGCCAATGTAGAGCAAGCATCAGACGTCTCATCGTCCGAGGATCGTGACCTTCTGGGTCTAGGTCTGATAGTTCCAGATCGCAGCCAAGTCATGCGTTGAGATACTTCCGTAAAAGGCTCAGGACTGAAGCACAGATTTGCCTTTGTCGACCATGTTGATAGTGACTCGCGAGAGTTCGTCACTTGTGCCGGTTGACCTTCTTCTGCGGAAACGCCTCGGCTTAGCCTCAGATGTTCTGGTGGAGATTCTTTCAAATACCAAAACTCTTTGCGAAGCCTTAGGGCAACAACATTCTGATAACACCACCTTGATTATCTTGGCACACGGACAGCGTGAGTCCGTGTCTCGAGCACTTCTTTTTCGGGACTTATTCATACCCCCGACGTGATAGTACAACTCGTCGGTCTGATGACCAGAGCAACCCATCGTGTGTTGGCACGAATTCCCAGGTATAACTTCGTCATCGGACGAACATATTTACGCCTTCGTGAGCGTGAAACTCTAACTTGCTCTTGAACTTCGACTCGCAATCCGATGCGGTCGGTCATAGGGGCTTTACCTTTGTTGTTATTGGGGGATTAGCATGATCCCCAGCCTGAATGGTTGTTTGGGAACCTTTCAACGGCCCCAATCGCTCCTTCATAGGTACTTTATCTCGATCTTCGGGGAGAGGACCAAGGCGGTCTTTCAGGGTAATCCTAAATTTGGTGAGATCAATGCTACCACATGGTTCTGTCGGAGGTACGGGGACAGGGGAAACGGGATCTAAAGTTGACGAAGGCCAGACGGTAACTTCGTTCACTTTCGCCTTAGACGCTGACTTCGCCTTTGGCACCCACACCTGTTTGTGCTTGGGCGATTTCTTAACTACCTCTTCCTTCTGCATTTCTTTCGCTTTCTGCAAAAGGACTCGGGCATGCGCGAGCAATGCGCGGCGCTTCTGCATTCGCTCCTCAAGGGTAGAGCGGGTCCTCTTGACGCGAACTCACTTATTCTTCTCTGCTTTGGAGGAGGGGT